CATGTATATAAAGAACTTGATTTCGACCTAATGTAAAAGCAACTTTCTTACAAGTTAATTAGTTTCGACTAAATAAAACTAAATAAATAAAATAGAAATATTTTATTTAAAACTTTTATCTTCTTTAACTAAAACTATTCGCTAATAACAAAATCAATTCGTTGATCCCCTATTCATTCTGATCCACACAATTAAAATACACTCTCCCAAATTTAATCGGTGACAATAGTAATAATAATAATGAAATAATAATAATAATAATAATGATAACGAAATAGCAATAATAATTAAATAATAAAAAAATAAGGTTTTAACTGATCACCAAATAATTTTTCCATAATAACCATAAATAACGTAATTTATTATTATTTTTATTTTACATAAACATTTGCATCAATTATTGATTTTTTAATGTCAAAATTGTTATTTTGCCATTTATTTATTTGTTTATTAGTATCTATACTAGTTTCAAAAATAATTTTGAGCTTCTAAAGGCAATTATAACATGATGTTGACCCGGGTCAATTAAATTATGACCCGACCAGACCCATTCAGGTCAACCCGACTCGTTTCAGAGCTCTATATGAGCGAGCAAAAATATTAAACACAAGGGTAGAAAAGCCAAAATACCTGTGTGAAACTCCCAATTTCTCCATAATATTTAGTTATTACTTAATTTTCTTTTTTTATTACCTGTTTTTTCCACAGACAAGGCTGATGATGAATTTGACAAAATTGAAAGATTTGAAGATTCACTGGTGCATATTGAAGATGAAGAATCAAGTTCAAGACCTCACAATGTAAAATTGTAAGTTTTATTTTACTTAATAATTATATTTATCACAATAAAAAAATTGCTAAATATCATATTGATTATTCTCATCTCCAGGAAAAAGAATTCTCTCTTGTTCATGCTCAGTGTATTGTTCCTTGAAGAGAACATAGAATTTTTTAGGTGAGAAGTTACCAATTTTTTAGTATTTGTTAATTTAGTTTTACCAAAACAACAGAGTGCATAATGATTAGATTTATTGGCCTTTTCATTTAATACTGTGATATATATTCGGTGAGAATGTTTTATAGGTGGCATTTTAAAAAAATATGTAAAAAAACTGACGATTAATGTCCAATTGGACCAGGGTCAAGCAACACTGGTTATATTTATACAAAGGGATTTTTGTGATTCACAAATCTGATTGAAATTTCAGATAAGTGAGTATGTGGTAATACAGACAAAATTTTCGGTATATGGTGTTATCTCATTTTTTAAAATGGTGTTACTTTTGAAGTGCACTTAGTGCATCCCAAAATTTTGATCTGGTGCCATCCCAAAGTTTTCAATATGGTGTTATCCCAAAGTTTCGATCCATGTACATTGTCGCAATATCCTAAAGTATATGGTATAGTGTTATCCCAAAGTTTTTGATACGGTGTAATCCCAAAGTTTCAATATAGTGTAATCCCAAGGTTTTTGATCCATGTTCTCTGTAGTGATATCCTAAAGTATATGGTAATGGCAATACCCGAAGTTTTTGATATAGTGTTATCCCAAAGTATACAATATCATACCAAAAAAAGTGATGCCCTGAGTAAGTAAGATTTAGGTATCAGCAAAGATGAAAAAAGATGCCAAGGCATAATTAATACAGAAAGATATATACTGTATTATAAAAAAATTGTGCCTTGGTATCACCAGGTAGGCAAGGATTCAGATATCAAAAATTTAAGGAAAAAAGTAACACATCAAGGCATAACTCGGTGTTGGCATTTGGCCAAATAAATAATGTGATTTTAAAAAAATTATAGATTAACAAAAATAAAAAAAATTAGTGGCCAAAATATTGTTACATTAAATTTTTTAAAAAATTATTCCTTCCTTTTTATTATTATTAAGCATTTCTTATGTTGTTTGCTCTTCTACATATTAAAGCATTAAAGAATGCCTCACAAATATATTAATTATGTAGACTAATTAGTGAATAGGGAAATTTGTTGTTTCAAGAGGAAGAGACAGATTTACTTCTACAATTGATAATGATGATGAGATGGATGATTTATTATTGAAACAAACACATCCTGCATTAGACAATACAGAAAAATGGCAAATAAAAAATATTTTTGTTGATAATCAAGAAATTACATTTTATAAAATTGTAGATATATGAAAATATAAAATATTATAGGCAGTTTCTATTGGCACGCTACGTGTGTAAACATGGTGTTACGTTGCACAATATTTTACATTATATTGGTTCACAATCACATTGGATCACCCCATCATTTGATCCAAACAACCTTTTTTGGTCCATTTTTGGGAAGTTGAACAAGTGCCAACCACACAATCTCTAACAATCACTTTATTTTATCATATCAGATCATCCCATCATTAAAACAAATCAACCTTGTCTTGTGTTATATATATGCACATATGAATCATATGTAAGATGCAAAATGAAATGTTATGTGTTTCAGGGTGTCCCAAACCCTCAAGCAAAACACTCACTCTAAAAAAGTTTAAAAAAAAGTTAATTGTTTTTATTGATGCAAATTTTATTATGTAATGCACATGACATGTGTACATACACTATGTGTTTGCTAAGAAATTT